ATAGATTTATATTTTTATATATTTTATATATGAAATTATATATACACACACACCCTTATTTATATATATATGAATATGTATACACAAAACTAAAACTGTACTATAGCAGACGTTTGATTTCATCTAGTAGCCTGGATTATTTTAACTAGAGTTGACAAAGAGGGACAACAAGAATGAGAACCAATTTTAAATTCCATTTAAATCCCTTCCTTTGACTTCTAAAAGAGCTGTTTTCCATCATGTCAGTAAGTTCTGATTAAGAATAACTCCTTAAGGCAGATGACTTAAGTGTACCTGATTAACTAGCTGTCTGGTAGGAGAGACGACTGAAGCCCTTAATTTCTAAGTTAAACCCATCCTTGATCTAAAGACAAAATTTAGATTCTGTTGAAAGCTCTGTTTTGAGTCTTGCTTGATGAAAAAGACCCACCACTTAGTGTGCTGTGTATGACTACTTTATTCAACCGTGTTTTCTCATTGCTTTTTTCTTACATAGCTGGTCATGTATCTGTGAAACGTTGACAATGCAAATGCAGCTTGGCTGTACAGTGCCATGAAATACTTGATTACAATGCAATGAGAAAAATCGTACTGTTTGATTTCTTGAATGACTTGCATGGAAGAAGGCTGCATTATTTCATGCTTTCACAGAGTTTTTCGCAGAAGTTTTCACAATATTTCTGTTCTGCTGTTTTCTGCAACTTCTTGAAGCCTGGAAAGAAAGAATTGACTTACCAGAGATCAAGTCAGTCATTTGTTCTCACTTGAAAATGTAGTCTGTGTAGGTGTTCAAAAATCCAGTCTGTGTTCACTTAATTCATTAATTGTGCAGAAATAATGAAAGGTTCCTTTCCCTTCCATATTCATCTCCCAGAATGTGTGTCATGTTTAAAATATATTAACATGTTGTTATATGGCTTCAGTCACTTCTGTCTCCTTATGCAGTAGTTCTTTTTGTGTTGACATAAATGTTTGCAGAATTAAGTAGTCATTAGTCAGGTTGCTGATTATTTAAGAAAAGACTGCTCTGAACAAATGATTACTAAAGCTGTTTCCTACTCCTAGCTTGCTTTGGGACGCTGTCCTAGAAAATAATGTGCCGTAGTAGCATCATAGAATCACGTTACCAAGTTTCTTACAAATTTAGTAATACCAGATATAGACCACAGTCTGCAAAAATATGTAAATAGGACTGACCTTGGTTGCAGTAGAGTTTGGAGTCTATGCTGTTGACCAGCTTCTCTTCTGGTTTTCTGCTCACAAGTCTGATGTGATGCCTTTAGGCATCTGCTCACAAGTCTGATGTGTGTCTTTAGGGCCTGTGAAGCTTTGATGTTTATATTGAGTTTGGTAAGTCACTAATGAACTAAATATTTATTGGGATAAGATCTGTTCAGTAGGTGGATCAGACTGTAGTTCTGTAAGTTTAGTAGCTGTGTTTTCTGGGGCCTCCTAGCAGATGGCCAAACCATGAGGCAGAATTTTTTACCAGCTGGTCCTCTAACTGGTGGTCCTCAGCACAAGGGCCCACCAGTGCCTGTTTTTCAATATTTTGTTCCTCTAGAGCTCCTTTCAGTTGCCTCTTCTTTCTTCTTGCTGTTCGTTTGCATTCTCCCTGAAGCATTGCACATCACTAGAAAGCATGAGAATACAATCTGAAGCCGTGAGAGACCACAGCTGTGGAACAGTAGGAGTCTTAATCTGATTTTCACAGAAGATAGTTTTCTCTCTGCTCTCTTATCAGGGTTATTTTTTTAAAAAAAAAAGTTTCTTAAGCATCATGATGTAAACACAGAAGTATTATTTAGTAGCAACATTGTGCCAAATGATAGTGAAGTAACATCTAGTCGGTGCTTTGGAAATCTTCATTCCCTATGTTCCTGTACAGGGATACCCAGCAAAGACATTCCACTGGCGTCTGGTAACTTTCTCTATATGCTTTGCAAGGCTAGGTGGCAGATCGTTTGATCCTTGCTTTAATGCCACTGGTGATAACAGGTATTCCCCTCTGCCTTGTAGTGAATGTAAGATT